GATAGACATTCATGTAGGACTACCTGACCCGCTCAACTTATCTGCTTCTGTCAAAAGGAATAAATTTTCCCCGTTTTCGCAACTTTTTTCATTGATTCTCGGCTCCTATTGGCTGTAACACGATGTTATGTAGCCTATATCTTTCCTCGATAAAAGGATTATTCAATACTAAAATATTTTTTTAATTCGACCCAGTAGTTTCCGAGATTAACCCGAACATACAAACTCACAAACTTTACCTCTTAAAATAAACACTCGCATTTCTATACCAAGGCATAGAAATAGGCGCGTTAAGCTTTTACATCTTACCGACTGTAGTTTGAGACCCACTTACTTATAGCAAGTCGCTCTACTGTCAAACGAGTACTTTAGGTATTACTGAAGGTATTATGAAGGCAAGATAGAGAAAAGGGATTTATAATGATATAGTAGAGATGATAAGCAATAGCTTGAACACATCGGGATCGCATAATTGTGACTGAAAATGAATGCTGCCAGGAAGTGCACTGCACAGATGGCGTAGTGGTTTAAGCGGTCACCTCGCCGCTTCCTACTGCGCTGAGTGTTATAGGTTCTATCCCAACATTGGACAACACTTTGTGTTTGTTACACAAATTATTGTTCTGAGTTTTTACCTTGTTCCGTTTCATGTATTTTTGTAAAGTCCCCTGCGACACAGGATATACCTATTCCTAATGCGGGAGTTGTCTTTACAAAAATAACTAAGCAATACCCTCTTTTCTCGTTATATCTTAAACATATCCTACAGATATAGCATTTTTAAAGCAGATACATGCTTAGGATAAAGATTTTCTAACTTACAATATTCTATCTTTATCAGCGGTTCTTGGACTGTATTTCGCCTTTTTAGTATCAAAAAAATGAATGACTTATTGCACTATACTAAAATAGTTGTGAAGAATAAAGTAAATACGTAAAAAATAAGAAACTTAACTAGAGTTTATATCTAATGCATTTTTTTTAAATATCAAAAACATTATCATTATCATTATTATTATCTATAATATGTATGTATTTAAAAATATATAAGTATGTTTATCAGCGGTCTGGTTACCATAGTACAGGTTCTGCCTAGTTTGGGATCAGAAGGCCGTGTGTGAGATGTGTGAAGTTACTATTATTATTATTTATTATTGGGGTACAATAGTCTTTAGTCCTTTTTTAACCCCTTGGTAAAGGAGATTGAATTTGAAAATTTATGTTTGTGTGTATTTCTGACATGATATCCTTGTCATAACCACACCTAATTTTGTGCGTCGTATCGCAAAATTAATAGTAATAACTTCAAGCATCTCACACACGGCAGTCTGATCCCAAACTAGCAGAACCTGAGTTATAGTAACAAACATTTTGGAAATATACACATATTATAGTTAAATTACCCTCAGATACAGAACAAAAGATGGTGCCCATCACATAATTATTTGTCCTGGGTTTAATTGAAACACGGCATCGCCCGCTATCTGTCAGGGTTACTAACCACTAGACAACAGGATACAATATTTATGGTATTTACAGATTATTTGATATTCGTATCGTTAAATAATTAAATAAATATTTCGTTCCTATGTACGCACCCTTACGGGAGTGCGTAAGTTGACAATTTATAATAGGGTTGTAGTGCTTTCAGTAAGGGTCTATTGGATTTTGGCAGTTTTCAAAGTTTTAAAATATCCTTCCTATTTGTATATGCCTGTGAGATATGTTGTTCCGTGTCTAGGTGTAATTTATATATAATATTTATGTATTTATAAATATAAATTAAACACATATTTTCAATTATAAATCAAATGGACATGAGTCAGCCCGCTTTATTAAGCTTAAATTTTGTATAGTTTATGCCAGAAATTAGCTCCATCTGGCTGCAACATAACAAGATCTTAATGAGGGATATAAGATGATCAGTGTGGTGTCATGGCGGCAAGTCCAAAATGTGTATTACTAACAATTAAAATATTTGAAATTTCATTTTTAAGTACCGTTTTTAAAAGTGCACGAAGTATGTATCAGCTGTACATTTTTGAATCATCGATAGTTTTAAGTGACTGCTTGATGTCGGAATGTGTTATAGATAAAGGTGGTACTACACTACCAGAGACTTGAGTTTGTAAGATGTTATAAAGCTCAGAATTGATTAATTTTATAATAGTTTAACTTTCACTTTAGGTTTTTATTTTTTATCAGTTTACATGATGGCAGTGTTAGCCAATTACCTCTTATTGGTAGTACATACATTAGATAATTATAACTGTACACTTCCCTGAAAAGAATTTTATTAAACACAATTAGAGGCCTTATGGCACAAGACTAACTCGTATACTTAAAATTAATAAATTATTAGTCTTAAGACCTATTTTTAGAAGCTCGATTGAAGTGAAAAATATAAGAGTTGAAAATTACATACATAAAACAAATAAACCACAAATGGTGGAACTAGAAAGGTTGGCTAACATAATGTAATAAAAAAAGTTTAATTTAAAATATGAAAGTCCATACGGTATTGTCTATTTTACTTCCATTAATAGAAAAACAGCATGAAATTGGTAACATTTCTGAAAAGCATTACATTAATGTGTAGGTGGTTGAATAATTTCGATTTAATCGGGAATCTGCACGTTGTCCTAACTATTAAGAAAAAGATTTGCGTTTTAACCTATGTACATGTTGCGCTTATTTAAAACTAACTTACCTTAAACCACTAACGTGTACCACAACATGCTTTCTACTTACTTAGTATAATTAAATTGTATGTCAGTAATTGTGGTGAGGGTTTGGCTCCAGTATACGTTGGAACACAAAAGCTTCCTTGAGACATAAGTTTCGTTTTAATTAGAATTTAAACGTATTATTGTGTTAATGGCTTCAAATATTAAAAGTATATTAGTGGTATTATTACACAAAGATTTTTAACTTCACACATCTCAAACACCATTCTTTCATTTCATACTTTAGGATCCCAAAACTATGGTATGGCCTGTGCTATGGTAACCAGACTGCCACTGAACATATTTATATATATATATACAGTATACAATCAAATGAAGTTACATGTATATTTTATTGGACAGGAAAACTCTCATCCTCAAAAACACATAAATAGGTCAAATTTGTGTTTGTGACAGTTGCTGTTGATAAGTTTTCGCCAGATATTTAAACTGTGTTAAACTTTGTTTCTTTATTGAATAAGATAACATGAAACTAAATGAGTAAAATAGACAACATAATTATTGTCATAACTTGCTTTTAACTGTCCAAAAAACATCAGGATAACTTTGGATTATGTTACATTTGAGTAAATGTTTACACAAATTTAAGTAAATGTTAATATATGATCAAACTGAATTTGAAATGTATATATTGAACTTTTGTCAAAAATTAAAGTACTAAATAAAATAAAGATATTTTACAGAATTTTTCATAATTTGAATGAAGGAAAAATGACGGTAGTATAAAATAGTATAAACTTTAATATTTATGTAAACATAGTATCTAGCAACCAAATAGTAGTCACAATTGAATTATCTTTACTGTACTAATAAATCTGTTGAAGTATGAATGTATGCATACTTCAACACATTTATAAAAATTTAATGTTTTTCTTAATCTGTGCTTTAACCAGTGATCGACCTATTTTCATTAGATAAGCTAAGCTATAAATATGTAGCGATACTACTTATCACGTATCTTTAGTGTAAACTAGGCCTTACACAGTGATTCATTTATTTGTTTCAATGCATTAAAAAATCATGAATGCGATAACTTTTTATGTAAACATCTGGTATGAGTCAGCCATCTTAAAATTATTATAAGCGTTTTGTCTTTTAAAGTATTGTTATTGCGTAAAGTTACTATTTTAATGGATGTCGATGTTTTGAAATATCACAATGTTAAGGTATGACTCATTTTAAGTGGTGATGATGCACACATTGTAAGCATAGATATATTTTCTTATTAAGTAATGGAATATGAGCTTGTCTTCATACCTACTTACCCGATAGAAAATAATGAAATATCCTGTGTCGCGGGGAACTTCACATACATCCATGAAACAGACACAAAGAACACCTAGACTCAGTACGAGAATTTGTGGATTACACAAAGGGTTGTCCCATGTGAGGATCGAACTCACTACACTCAGCGCAGTAGGAAGCCGTGACCGCTTAAACCACTACGCCATCCGTGCAATCGTACTAGACCTAGCTAATTCCAGCGGCTTCTTTGAAACTGATGAACTTCCGTATAACAGTTCATCCCTTATTTTACACCATTAGGCATGAAAATGCCAAAAATATTTCCTTAGTAGGTGCCTACAAAATATAAAGCATCCGTTGCCAAAATTTCAAGTCTGTAGCCCCAGCGGTTCAGGCTCTGTGATAATCATTTCATGATTTAGTCCGTAAGGCAAGTAATTCTATATGTACATATATATAAGTATATTTATTTATTTCAAACTTCATGCACTTTTGTACATCGTCGGACTTAATGCCCAAGTCATTCTCTTCCAGTCAACCTAAGGGTGGTGTAGAAATCATATAAGGTAGGTGCACAGAGATTACATATTATGACATGTAATATATAAAAACATACACGGTGCACTACATACATATACATACACATATACACATATACAACACATCACATCATACACCTACATATATAAATATATATATATATAAATATCTTTATAAATATACATGTTATATTCGTACAGTATGTATACCGGAATATGAGGTGTACTATGGACTGGGTAGTTCTGCCATTTTATTAAGAAGGAGATCATGCAAGTATAGATGTAGTAAATGCACTTCCCTCCTGATAATTGTTAATTTATTGTTCTTAACCCAAGTTCGGAGTCTGGGTGTTCTTTGTGTCTGTTTCATAAATGTCTGTAAAATCCCCCGCGACATGTCAGGAGATATTCCTAGTGCAACTACCGACAACGACTACATGTCTTTACAAAAAAAACGTTTTATGCGCACCTATTTGATGTTGATTCCCGTCTAGCAGGAATTCCGTGAACTTTACCAAAACAACTTGACAAATAACACCAGTCACTTGAGCCATCTTGAAAACCAAAACTGCCATTCCGGAGGAACTGTCAACCCTTTTCACTACAGAGGTCACTACGTTCATTGTATATATATATGTTGAAATCTTGAGTACCAACGAAGACATAAAGGACATAATATGTTAAACTTGAAATAGCTTATAACATACAATGTTTCTATTTTATTTCGCTGCAATCATTCTTGATAGGTCATAGGGACCTGTGTTCTGGGTTTATGTACAACACAGATGTGATTGCTCAACCATACCACCACCACATAACCATTCTCAACATTGTCGGTACTGTTACTGTTGAAGGGTGTTAATGACTAAAGACAGAGATAACTAGAAAACAATAAGATACCACCCCTTTAATATATTAATAATTTAGGACGTTAAATAAAAACATCATAACAAACATAACTATATCCAACAATAAAATATTTTATTACCTCTTTTAAGGTTATCGCACACTTAATCGATGTCAAAAATAAACAACCATGAATTAGTAACACTTAACGCTTATGAACTTTGATCGTGAACTTCCAATAAAGTATCGATGTCTCTGTCTTTAATGGAAATTTATATAGCGCTGTCACATTCATGCGGCACGCTTGGTGCCTGGTGTAGTATATGTAAAATGTTACGATAAAAAAAAACGTTTAATATAAACCGTTAAATTTTTAAAGGCATGAAATATAACAAACTCATAATATAATCTACATATATTTAAATACTCTTAGTCAATAGTTTTGAACGGTAAGACATAAAAAAGCAGAACAACTCCTGTTAATTCAATTTCACTTAAAAGTGTATAACCTAATTATAAACATAAGTCGATATAGAAACGGAAAAAAATGAATAAAATACCCTTATCCTCAAAAAATAAACATTTATAAATCCCATAAATAATAATAATATTCTTCCACATTCACACAACGTAATTTAGTCCCAGCAGAACTTGTACTATGGGTACTAGACAATTGGTATAAAAACATATACACTTGTTTTTTGTAAATACATACATATACATAGAAACACCCGGACCAAATCAAACATTAAATGTTCATGGACACAATTGTTTGGCTTGAGCGAGAATCGAAATAGCAGTTCGTTACACAAACGTTGGCATGCGGTTGGCTCTTAATTTCTTCACGTACATATTGGATTTAAAATATAAAAAAAAAACAAAATTGTTGAATATTTATTTATCAGTATTAGAAGAGACATTAAAATGTCTCTCAGTTATGGAAAAATGACATTAGTCAACATCAAAGGTTTTGTAAGTACTTTTTATAACAAATTTGTTAATGTAATGGCATTCTTAGAAACTATTACGTTTTTACAAAATAATTAATATTTTATAATACCGCGGAAGAGACAAGCCTCGGCACAAATGGACAGGCTTGACCGGATTCCGAGGCCTCACAGCAAACCAGTGTTAAGTCAACAAGTGTTTCGAGTGAGATTATAGATTCCCAATCGCCCCCCCACCCCCCTGAATTTTGAGGAGCGCGGGGACTAAAGGTCGTAGACGACTTAAACGACTCCGCTTCTATGAGAATTAAAATATGGACTTAACATCGTGCTCTGTAGACGCACTTTACAGTAACAACAAAAAAAAGCAGTCTTTTTTGTAAAACACGTGGGACTCTTGAGTTGCAAATGTCCATGGACAGTGGTAGTCGCTTACTGTCAGGTGACCTATCTGCTCGTTTGCAAAAAAAATATATATTTACTTTAACATCTAAGAAATTATCTTCAGTCCCATCATATACTATAACTTTAATTACTAACGTGCGAACTAAGAAACTCAAACGATAACCTGCATTATGGCTGTCCCTTGAGCGGCACTTTTCTATTTTTTATTCCCTTACTTTTTCCCCACATTTTTGTCTCTTGAACGCTTCGCTTGCCACGCGGGTGACAATTGTCTTTGAAATAAAAAAAGGTTCGAAGATGATGCTGATGCTTCCATAAAGGGTTCCGTATTAGTATTCTGTGGTAATAAAATGAATATGTTCTGTATCTAATAATGTTTAGAAAATAGAATAATATTTGTTTTTTTATCGTGCCATCGGCCTTACATGAATTTTGTTCTGTGTTCCGCTGGTATGACCAAAGCACGAGAAGAGGTATGACCCAAGATAGGAGCGTGCAAACAAACAATATCGTTATCTTTATGATGTTAGTTAAGATAAACGATAAAAGATAATATTATAAAGATATATAAATAAACCAAATCATTACTTTGAGATAAACTCATCGAAATTGAGATGTAACTGCAATCTGGCAAACGAGCTTTTTAGATTAGCCATAACTAAATTAGATATAGAGACGATTAGATAGACGATAAAGGGTCAGATTTAATAATAAGGTTAAGTAACTTCAGTTCAATGTTTTGGTCAGTTATCTAAATAGTATGCTTTAGTATAATAACAATAAAAACAGAGCATTGTCATTACACGTATTAAAATAAATAACATAAAGTTACTTAGTGAGAGCTGGAGTCTATTCTAGGCTCGAAACCTATATGACAGATTCTGGAGATCTGTCCATCCTACAGCAGAAAAATATCTAATTATGAATAACTAAAGATACTTATCTAACAACATTTCTATATTTTTTCCTGATTACTATTATTAATAGATGTTCTTACTCAACTAAGGAACCCTAATTTAAGTTAACACGAAATACACCGTGATATCCGGATGCAACGCTCTCTGAACATAAACTTAGCTTAATAATAAAATGTCACCGTGAAGTAACTACTAACGCGATTGCTTAGTTTGTAATTTAATGTTTAACTTACAAAGAAAAAAAAACGCTTAGACACAACATCACACAGCGATGGAGATTTTCAGTTTCATATGTATTGATGTCCTTCTGACAATAATAAAGATTGCATATCAGTCCAATCTCGAACGCTTTGAATGTCACATTTTAATAACCATTGTCATTGTAAAGACTATTACATAATGATAGGGGAAAATATATGCTGCCCATAGTTTCATGTAGCTGTTTTTACAAAAAAAATGTTTTTGCAATTCTTCTACGAATAAACTGTATTTTCTTAAGCTTCAATGCGCCATTTTTCGCTGCTATTATCAAATCACAGAAGGGATGGGAGGAACGGTTTAAGCTAGAAGATCTCCAAGAGATTTCAATTCGCCAATAATGACTACTACTACTCGTACTTGGTGACTCAAGACGTCATAAGAATAGTCAAGGCTATGCGTTTTATAGAGATATATAGAGTCACTATATATCCAGCTGGGTGACGGCCCATTGTTCAATATCCAAATCCACTCAACGGATTTTCTTCAGTAGTTAACATTTTTTGACGATATTATGAAAATATGAAACTATGATTATATTACGGTTTATTGCGTACCAGTTCTTTTTTACAAGGTTTTCTGGAATAATTGTGGTTTAAATCAATAAGTTTGTCCGATGGCCATGCTGGAATTCTTTGTCGTATATACATAATAAATAATTAAATTGTATATTCAAAATATACCGTATACATTCCTTGTAAATATGTATAGCTCTGAACCTCAGTCGTCTACGAAAGTTAAAATTATGGACATTAACGTCAAGTACATAATTACAGCGTCAGGAAACCTCTAGAGAGATCGCAGACTTTACACAATAAACGTCACTTCATCAAACATTTCTGCAAATCTTGCTGCTTTAAGTATATTACCCTCTTAAAATATACTGGAATAGCGCAAATCTCGGCTAAATTATTTTTTGTCTTATCAGGAACATAATTGTCTCTTTGTTCTAGAGATTGTTGAGAAAGGGCTAGGTAAAAATAAACAGATTTAGAAAAGGGATTGTGGAAACGAATTGTATGCGTCACTTTCTTAGAATTTCTTTGGTGTGAGAGTTAATTAAGTTGTTTTTAAAGTTGGTAATCTTCAGTGGTACACTCTTATTAGATTAGATCTACTGAAGTTTATATAATTAAAAAATTTCAAGTGTTTTTTGCCGTTTGCGTCATTTCATACTCATTCGAGATTTCTACGTAGTTTGCTTATTAAGTCGTAAATACACAACTCAGAACTATGCACATGATAGTTATTAATTATGAGTATAACACATTTAAATATTTTTTGTTTGGCGGTTTCATAAAAACGCAACTGTAACAACAGACTTCGTAAAATTGAAAAAAATAAATTAAAAGAAAAACATTAATAAAACTAACTCTTAAATAAAATTAATTTATTTTTAACTTTAATTCAGTATACCTTTCGGTCAACTCTAGTAACTACCTATTTGAGTCTAATACATGAATGTATATTTTTAGTGTTTTTACCTAATATTAAAGAGTAAACCTTTGCAAATCTATTAAAAAAAAAAACCTTAAAGCTATTTCAGTAATAATTAGTATAGATACACTTACATATAATCATATTACATCCTTGTAATATAATGAAATTGTTCCAATTCTATATTTCTTAAAAGACAACTCCCGAATATATACTGTATCGCGGGGAGCTTTACAAACATAGATGAAACGGGCACAAAGAACACCGAGACTAAGATCAACAATTTGTGGATCACACAAAGTGTCATCCTATGTGGGGATCGGACCCACAACACTCGGCGTAGTAGTAAGCGGCGTGGCGCCCATTTAAACCGCTACGCCATCCGTAAAGACAGATTATATACATAGAGTAAGGTAAAATAAAAAAATATTTACTAGCACACAATACAAATGATTCGCACTCCCTATATCATTGGTTGGATTTTATGTACAACAAAACTAAGTAATGACATGTGATTTAGGGGTTTACATAATACTATATTTTTAATGGTCTGTTAAGTTTATATTTGGCCTTAAAACTACTCATGTCATAACAGTATTTAGACACAAACTCATCTACTAAAACAGGCTTCATCCAGCAAGTTAATCTACCATCAGATTATGTATTCCATTCAATTTGTCCCAAAGGCTAGTCCGGCTAACTGCCTTTAGGGGCTGCAAAACTCCGGCCAAATTAAAAAAGGGG